ACAACAACAACAACAACAACAACAACAACAACAACAACAACAACAACAACAACAACAACAACAACAACAACAACAACAACAACAACAACAACAACAACAACAACAACAACAACAACAACAACAACAACAACAACAACAACAACACAACACCAATTGAACCCATCCTCAGGCTGAGGGCGGCGCTGATGTGGAAGCCAAGAAAGGGCACCACGTTCCACGCCCGACACTCCCCGTCCAGCTGCAGCACCGCGGACGCCCAGCCTACATCCGACCCGTCGGCCGAAAAACCACCCGGGAGCCTTTTGGGGCTCTCGGTTTCTACCCACGGAAATGGGTTGCCCCTAAAAACACATGGGGAAAACACACCAGGAACAAATATATATATATATATATATGTGAAATTCATATCATATCTTACATGGTAAACATATGGGTTACCCGGTGAAAAAAACACCGGCTCCTGGTGCCTTGATTTTGACCAGAAAGCCCCCAAACCTTCACAATGGTGTCCTTGCCGCTTTTTTGGGTCCCGGACAGCTGTCAAGCGCGAACCCCACGCCACTCTGGTGCCGGGAAAAATGGCGCCTGAGTTGCGCAGCTGCGCCGAGTAGGTGGACACCTCCAGTACTGCGTCGAAGGGCAAGCGCACGGACAGCATGGCCTGGTGCTGACCTCGGGGACGCGGACGGACGGCATCGGAGGGCGCGGCTGCCAAACCCGGCGGCCAATGGGCCGAAAGAACGAAGTGCACGGAGACGAAAGTAGAGGGCGCAACTTGCCTTTCTATTTGGGATTGCGTCAAACGCAACCCACGCGCACGTTTAGAAGAGTCTTCTCTCTCTTACGTAGGCCTCACAGTTGAAATATCCATGAACGGAAAGGGACTTGTGCCACCTACTTTCTCTAGCTCTTCGTATCTGGCGGGCGGACCCACAGGAATCCGCGGGCTGCGCCAGTGGTCGTCTTCAACCAGCTCCAGGTCAAGGGAATCCTGACACAAATGCCGGAGATCGCGAGGAGCTTCAGGTGAACTGAAGCTACATCAGCTCAAAAGCTGGTGACAACTGACAACATGTCCTGTTGCTCAAGGTAAGTCCTTCGCAGCGTTGCAGTCTGCTAGAAACCAAGCAAATCAAACTCTCTTTCTGATATTGTGGATGGTCCTCAGTTGGTGGTTCTGCCTGAGTTCATAGGGCTTCGTCTATCACACGTGAGCCTTATCCATGCACAGTATCAGCTCCGTGCCTGGTCCGCGGCACAAATCTCCATGACCTGTCGGCATTCGACTGAGTGTGCGGCTCCACTCTCGAGCTGCGGAGCGCGAGCCTGGCGTCCAGTTGGTTCTGGGACTTCAGGAAGAAAGCACCTCGGGTCTGTGACATCCTCAAGTGAACACGGCTTCGAGGCAAACCAGCTCCATTCACCAACCGACCGACCAGCCGACCAGCCGACCAGCCGACCAGCCGACCAGCCGACCTGCCTACCTACGGGCCCACCAACCAACCCAACCAACCCAACCAACCCAACCAACCCAACAAACCCAACAAACCGCCCGACCCAACCCAACCAACCAACCCCCCGACCGACCGACCGACCAACCAACCCAACCGACCCAACCAGCCAACCTATCAACCGACCAACCGACCGACAAACTAATTCACCAACCTACCAACCCAGCAACCAACCTACCAACCAACCTAGCCGGCGGACCAACAAACCTACCAACCACCAACCAACCTACCTCCCATCCTGCCAAACAGACTACCAAGCTGACAAGCTAGCAAGCTTCCAACCAACCGACCAACCAACCGACCGACCGACCCAGCCCAGCCAACCCAACCAACCAACCCAACCAACCAGCCTGTCAACCGACCAACCGACCAACTAATTCATCTACCAACCTACCAACCTAGCAACCAACCCAGAATCAACCCACTAACTAGCAACCAACCACCGGCCAACCATCAGCCAACCTATCGGCCATCCTGCTAACCAGCCTACCAAGCTGACAAGCCAGAAAGCTTCCAACCAACCGACCGACCGACCAACCGACCAACCAATAGGATCCGGTAAAATTTGCAATCCGTTTCGCCATCAAAATGAAACCAAATCAAGGTACCCAACTGTATTCCGCTTCTTTTGGCTGCCAGGTAGCTCCACAAACTGTCGCGACATCACCTGAGCGGCCCATCCAATCAACACCCGGTTGTCGTGATCCAAGAAAGGTCCTTGTTGGGGATCGCCTTTCGGCGGAGGGTCCAAAAATGGCCATGTCAAATGACAACTTCCCACCAACCCCCCATGAATGGAGGATCCTTCCCTGATCGAAGCGATCGCCGGCGACCACCCGCCTTGTCGTAGCTCCACTCGCTGCGCTTCACAGCCTGCCCTGCGTCGCTGATGCAAGCGCCCTGACTGCCGCCGCGCCGGAACCAGGCGTTGCAGCCGTCGGTGACCCAAATGTGAG